GAACGCTATTAAGGTCTGACCTCACTTGAAAAACAAAACTATGAATGATTTGCACAGAATATAATTCAAAACTGTCATAACTATCTTCTTGCCGTTTTAATTTCTTTTAAACCTTTGCCATGTTCACCAATTTTGACTTTTTTTCCTCATCCTCTTTTGAGGTATTTATTAGCAATAACATATAAATACAATAAAAATAAATCAAGGTTTTACAGCAACCATTGCTAGAATTTCACCTTATTTTCCAAATATATAGTTTCTTGTACTTTCCAAATATGATTTCACCACAAACTTAAAACCAACCTAACTAATTTGCGCTGTATGTTTTTACCTTTAAATGAACGTTTTATATAATGTCGATGGACTGTATATTGTGCTACAATTTGGACTTATTCAACTGCTTTTCACAAATGTTGTTAGATTGATTGGATTGCCCTTTCAACATTTCATATAAACTATATCAGCCAGTAATCACATCCGTCAATATTAAGGCGTCAATATCGTATATCAATCAAATATTTCTTCCAGAACTATAACTGTAATATCTATTTTCATGAGGCTCTCGAATCTGTACAAGGTAATCTTGACTACAAGTAATGAAGGAAAACAATGTTTCTTGTAAATTAAACATAACCAGATAATACTGAATGATTATCAAGTTTACGGTGGCAATTACATGATTTTGCAATCTAACAATTTGGTCAAATACGTACGATACATGAGTTATACGCAGATAGGTAATTCGAGCTTATCGGTGCTATCATAAATATAGCATTATGATAACCACTGAATAACTAACCATTTATGGATACTTGTACATTTCAATGTTTTTTTTTCTCACATAGTAATTTGTAATTACATTCCACATTACATTATTATTATTATTATTATTATTTCGTTTATCAACCATAGCTATTTTAAACTGACAATTGCTTACATATTTGTGGCTCGTCAATATTAGTTACGGGACATGTGGTCTTGCTAAATAAATTAATGGAATATATTTGTTTACAATATTGTTATAATATATATTAGTATGCGATACGTTTTAATTCTGTCTAGTTCTTATTTTGTATTATTAATACATTCTTGATTCATTTTGAATTTAAAAGTCACTGCTTCAGAATTCTAAATATTTTAAATTGTGGTTCAAAATTTTTCAACAATGACGCTGAATTATAATGTCTTATACGCAACTCACTGGGTACACTGACCCAATTGTTCTTAAAATTCTTTAACTTAATTTTGGTAAACAAATCCGCTAGGGGACACTCATAACAGGAACAATTGATGACGTTATCCAGTTAATTTACTTGGCTAGCGTGTTCCTAATACCGATAAATCAACTTAGTGGCTATTGCGAACAAGTTCCTTTAAAAACGCGTATATCCGTGTAGCTGGATTCCATTGTAAACCTTCTGCATTAAACACATTCTTTCATTGGATGTTGTTACGCATAGAAATAACTACACAAAAGGCATTGTATGAGCGTGCAACAGTTGATTTTATAGAACGTTTCTTTAACTTGATTTGCACCAACCTCTATTCAGGAAGCCTCTTCACGCCCAAGTATATGATAAGGCAAAGCTGCTTTAATTAAGTTGTTGTTCTTCAATTTCTATAGAAATCTTGGTCGTGAATACAAACCAATGGATAGAGAAAACAATTCCAAGTTGACTATCTGATCGAACAATCACTGTAAAGAAATTGTAGACTTGGAACTATGACCAACCCTATAGAAGACAAATAGGCCTATCATATTATAATGCAGCTTTTGGCTTTCTACTGGCCAAATTGAGTTTCAGTTCAGCTTTCCACGCAGTTAGAAACATTTTTAGAAACATTAAACTATGACATAGATATGTATTCCAATCGTATTCCGTGAACCACAACATCAGGAATTTGGAAAGGCAGTAATGGTTAACTCTTTTATAGAATAAAGTTTTGGTGAAGATTTTTTGTTATGTGTTTTTTTAATAGGTATTCTTTTACCAACCCCTACAAAAATCTCTCTCTCTCTCTCTCTGTCTTTGTCTCTGCCCTCCCCCCTCTCTCTCTCTCTCTCTCTCTCTCTCTCTCTTCCTATCTGCCCATCGATCTCTCAATCCCCACATTTCTGTCTCTATTCACTTTACATTATTTTATATTCGCTGCTTACATTCCAAACGTTCCTATACGACAAGGTAATACATTTTTGATATCTTTTCGAGTTCTGAGGTGAATTAACAATCAAGCCAAATGCCCAATTTAATATGTTTAGATAATGGAAGTGTTACGTAATTGTATCCTATCAAAAGGATTGTGATACGATTCAAATTACCCATTTAGTTGTAGGCATGTATATATGTAGCTCATAACTGAAACGTTATTGGATGTTATAACTTTCAAAATGACATACGGACAGACACATAATTTGTGCGTTACGCGAGCTATGCGCTACCGACAAAACAGCGAGTCTTGCTTACATGAACAAACATGACTGTCTCTCAAATCATATCACATCACTCATATTTCATGACTTACACATTCCCACTTAGGTTATTACATTCTTTATATAGAATGACAAGTTTGATTTGATTATCTTTTGTTTATTTACCAATACCGCCATGGTGACGATACAGTTGAGTCAGAACAAAAAGGAAACAAATTTTGAAACGTCGTGGAAAGCTCATCGATATTTTTTTTGCGCGTTAGCAGATAATACATTGTATATATCATTATTACTGAATAGATTGACAGATATAATTTTAATTAAACAATGCAATTTAAAGTTAAATCCCCCTGGACGTTCTTTAACCTTGATGTGTTGAAACAGCATTATTATTGAAAACCACGGGTTTGTTTTTGGCCCTAATGCGAGCCACGCACTAATAACGTCTGTGTAATTTAGGTTTTTTGCATGCTGCGTTTCATTGTTATGAAAGTTACCTCAGCTTAAATTAGCTCTATTACTTAACTGGTTTAATTGGGTGACATCATAGGTTAGGAATTCGTGACAGAAAGCTTGGGGAATTTTGATGGTTCTTTCTGATTTGTTCTGAAGCGGAAGCATAAAACTGGCGATGTCGCAAGACTTATGTTTGCTTACTGACTCAACGTGTTGTGCACGAGCCACTCGGTCGTGCGACAAACAAGTTAGGTCGCGTGTTTTAACTTACGGTGGTTGTTCGTGTGGCTGGGTTGTCCACGACCCCTTGACGGCTAAATGACAAGATAATCATGCGATTGAAAAGTTAAGATTATTCCTGATAAGTAATCCATCCTTTACAACATTCACATGTAGATAGATGCTTCCCCCCCCCCCCCTGTCTTTGATATTTTCCTCCCTCTTCTTTCTCGTTATTAGTACCACCTCATCATTTTACCTTATATTTATTTTTAAGTTTTAATTGTATATTTTTTTTGTATTATTGGGGGTAGTCCTCGACAAATCAATTTCGATTTTTTTTTTTTTTACTACCTCTTCCACATTTGCTGATTTTTTTTTCTTTTTAAAACATACATTGCTCCAACTGGAGTCGTTTTTTTTATATATGATATACATGTTCTATTATTGTATTGTGTGTATGTATGTATTTTATTTTATGTATTTCCCAATGTTTTGCATTTGTGGAGAAATAAATTGAATTGAAATTGAAAACGTGTTCATTTTTAAATCATTTCATACCGAAGCTCGTTCTACGATGACTGAATGAAACTTTGGATGGGGGACATTTTAACAATTAGAGCAAAATGTTACATAATCCACTTTCCCAGTTTCTTCATATTGTTTTCCCTTTTCCCTAATCCTCTTTTTCATAATTATCTTCCTCCTTGTTATATTATTGTGTTCAGATATATTCCTGGCTAAAGATTGTACAATATTGGACTAATTATATTCCATACATCAACTTGTGTACGGTTTGATATGGTCCATACATTAAGTGCGAGATTATTAAAGGAAAACCTGATTTGATTTTAATACCGAGGTCTGAAATACCTCGAAGTATAATGTTTACAAATGTTGTTTTAGTGTCTCTGGCAAAAAAAAAGAACTTTATTATTCGATTGAAATCTACTGCAAGGAAACAAAAATAATGTTTCCATATAAGCTACTATGTTTGCTTGTTTCATAATTTGTCATCAGTTTTTTCGTGATTTCCAAATGAATTCCCAAGTAATGATCTATGCGTGTAAATATGCTTTATGTGTACATGTGCATATTCGACACATTCCCTTTTTTCCCCTTTTTTTCACTCATTCACTCATATATCTCATTTGGAAACCTACGTTCTCCCTTGAATTGTGCATTCATGAGCGAACTCAAGAATAATAGACTGTGTTGTCTGAGCCGCATGAGGGCGCAATGCTCATTTCACAATCGGCGTCCGTCATTTTTTGTTAGTTCTTTGTTCTCCAGCCGTTTGCCGGTTTGATACCAGAAACAGGAGAGGGGTACAGGTGCTATTGTTAAGCACTCATAAAAATAACCTAGGGACCTGTTCTGTTCCCGCCTTTCTTTCTCCCTCCCCAAGGGATCCCCTTGATAATGGATTAGATGATCACCCACGCATCTCATTTGATTTCAGTGATGATGCATTTTTAAAAGAGATATTTTCTGAAACACCACGATGCAGTAACCCAAGCAGTAGATATCAGAAATCGAGTTGCTAACGATTCCCTATTTGTTTCTCTCTTTTTGTAGGTGTCCCAAAAGGGCTCATATTTTGTTTATTTATCATAAATCATGATCTATAAACCCAACTCATTTTAAATCTCTCGTCTCTTTTCATATACGCTCCAATTCTCAAATATTCGACTACTCACCCCACTATTATCTTTACTCTCATACACGTAATCCTACTTTTCTCTTCCTTTCTCTCTCTCTCTCTCTCTCTTTCTCCCTCTCCTCTGTCTTTCTCTCACACGATTACCATACACCACTGTCAATGACCACTCAAACACGTTCTCGCATCATCTGTACGAATATAACAAAAAATGAAGACGTAATACGAATGATATTTAAAAGTTTATGTTTTGTTTTTTTAATTTGATTTTTTGTTTTTTTTCATATAGCAATTGGCTTATATCGACCGGCGACAATCAACACAATTCATCGTTATCAATTATATCTCAATCTTGTACAAGAAAATAAACATATATCAGTAGAAAAATAGTCTTATAGTTTTAGGGATGAACATAACTTGTGCTGGCAGGCACTTCTTCTGGATGAAGTCGTTATTTTGACAAAGTTCACATCGATTCCCGCAATTTCCCTCCACGATGTATACAGAGCGTCAGAACACGTTTATGAAAGTTCAAGGCACATTAGTACTTAAGATGAAAGTCTTTAAGATGGGATGGGTTGAGATGGATTCTACCACGGTCTCCACATCGATTTCTCGGATGCCTTGATGGCGTGCTTCTGGTATGGAGCGAAGCGGTGGTGCTTGGTGTTCAGGGCGGTCTTGGAGGGCTTGATGTCGACGGGTGATGGTGTGAAGCGGGTCATGGTTGGCTCGGGGGACATCGGTGACTGTGGTGGGGTCAGGACACCGTCGCTGCTAAGTGGGACTCGAACCGAGATGACCGAGTTGTGCTGGACGGTGTGGGCTGGGAGGAGGAGAACCATGCCGTTTGGTGTGGTAGCAAACTGCTGGACTGGCGATGTTGCTGGGATGGAAATGGGACTGGGAGCAGCAACTCGGGTCTGTTGCTGGGGAACTGTGACTGGTGATGGCACACGTTGTTGTTGTTGTTGTGTCTGAGCTGGTTGAAGTCGTGACACGTCAGGTTTCTGGTCGGCATCGTTGATGGTACTGCAACGATCAGCTAGATGACCGAGGAGGCGAAGACGGGTTTCAATGTCGATGCTCTCGCAATTGGACATGAAGGTTGATACCTCGCTCAGGCATTCTGTAAATCCAGCGTGGTATGTGGTAACCTGGCCTTTTGACTCGCCCTGTTCTGGGGTCTGGACGTCTTTCAAATATCGAACAGTCATCTCCAGGATGTCAGCTTTTTCCATTTTAGGATGTCTAGAGATCTGGATTAAAGAAAAAAATGGGAAAAGGTCATAAGTATTGCACAATCAAAACACAAAAGAAATCTTTTAAATATGGCTGTGTATAATTAATCGACATATTTTGTCATTTTACTTGCGGGAGTGACAAATTTGTTTGCCAAAAACTACCTTCCAAAAACCACACTCCACTCGACCCCAAGCCCCCGCCGCAGCTGCGGTTAGGCGTGGGCCAAGAATCGTGGATTACTCCCCAACCCGACTTTCCCACGGTTCGGCTTCAATAGAGGCCAGAATGAGCTCATTCAATAGACGGCGAAGCTCGCCCGTTGTTCCACCGAGTAAACATTGTTCGCACGTTCCATATCCCCCGTAACCCTCTATACAAACGACGCCCTACCACAAACAATAGCGGCAAGGAGCTGGGGATTTAATTAATCAATAATCGGAGTGGACAGGGACAAAGATACACCTCTTGGAAGAAAAGGAGTGAATCTTCGCGCCAATTAATACAAGGAACCAGATTACGAAACAGGTTGGGCGCCAATTTTGAATCTGGCGTTTTGGTGGTGGGATATCAAAAATCTGTACAGAGGCCCGTGTAATGTACAATTATAGGCCTATTGAAATACTGCATGAAATACTGACAGGCAGTGCTGATTTAAATGTTTAAGATGTATATTGAGTGTATTGATGAGATGTTCAGATACTTACATCTTTTTTGATGACTGGGAAGACCATACTCTTCAGTTGAAGGAGGCTGTCGTTGATTCGAGCTCGCCTTTTGCGTTCTGTAAGGTGCTTGGCAGTCTGTAGATGAATACAAGAAAGGGTACAAGAATAAGTCAAACAGTCCTCAAATTGAAAATACAAGTGCATGGAAATCATACAAATATGAAATCAATTTATCAACATACGAGTCTGATGTTCGTTCCTTGATGTTATTGTCAGTTAAGTTGAAAGTAGATTGAAGGTATTTGGCCTTTGCTGAAATCAACTATTAATCAATGATCAATGATTAGATCAATGATCATGATGAACAAGTTAACGTGATTACTGTTAACTTACTAAGTAAACATGGTTACTGATGACACGGTTTCGACTTAAACTTGTTGAATTCAAAAAGAGAAAATGTGTGATTGAAGAAATGGTTGAGAAGAACTTACCCTAGGTCTGTTAGAGCACATGTCCATTTGTTGGTATCCAGATGAAGTAAGCATGATTGCTGATATAGATGGTCTCAATGCACAAGCAAGAAGTATAATCACAGGAGTTAGATTCCTTAGAGGCAGAGAGATAGTCACTGGTATCCACGAAGAGGAGTATGGATCTTGTGACGAGCGTGAGAGCGGTTGTTATGACTTACTACCCGGCAGACGACCGCTATATATAGACAGCACGTGCCCGTGGCGCTCGAGCGTGAAATTCTTCCACACAGTAGCCAATCAGTGCGGCTCGTGCATCCGCCTCGCTCGCTCCGCACGGGTCTACTACCCAGGCGCTCCTCGCGTGCGGATTGGTCGCTGGGTGTGTTCGCGGAGGCACGAAAGCCGAAATGCCAACCAATGGGAGGGCGCGTTAGATGGATGGGTTTATTGAGCAAACAACCTCGGCGCGTGACTCGACCAGGGTGATAACACCGTCGCAGGGGTCAGTAGCTCGTCGCGTATAGTCGATCAAAGAAACAACAAGAAGAACAGGAGAGGCTGAAGGAGGGACTCGCTTCAATGAATCACCAAATCTAACCACAATGTTTGACGGAGGCAAGGGAGAAGTGAAAAAATCGAATGCTGAGCAACAATAAAAACGCAATGATTGTTAGCTTAATCCGTATGTCATCGTATAGAGCAACCGTGGGAGCGCGTGGGTACATCGGTATACCGTGGGAAACTTCGCCGTTCTATTGTAACTGTGCCCAAGGGGTAATTTGGGGATATGCTCCACGGTGTTTTTTCGTCGACATCTGCTCAATAACGAGTCAATAAGATTGGGAGACAATTGAAAAGAATTTCGAATTAAACAACCCTTCCCTATATCTTGCTCTCTCTCTCTCTCTCTCTCTCTCCCTCCCTCTCTGAAATGACGACACTTCACAAGAGTAAACGAAAGTAAATTTTAACCTAATGAAATAAAATAAAATAGTTAGTATCCGGTTTAGAAAAATTCCTATAATATGAGGTGAGATATACTTATCTCATTCTGTCGCATAACTCACATATTTCTTTCTGCATTTAAATCGAAATGTGATTAGACATTACTTGTAGCTGAAAATAGCATAACAGTCTGGTATGATAGCAGAGCCATGTGCCCATGTATCAAATATCCTCGAATATCAAATTACCAAACAAATATGAATATATTAGTTTGTTATTATCTATTTAACTACAAAATCCGCAGATTTAATTTCTTGATCTTCGGTCTGAAATAAAACATAGACACTCTTGGCTCGAGTATACTTGCCTTTGATTATATTTTCTTCTTCTGCATTCATGTAAGTTTACATTTCTTCGATAACAATAATATAAAGTACAATGAATAAGTACTTTTCTGACACTGAATCATAAATTAGCAAATACATATATATATATATATATATATAAACTGTTATTTTCAAAAACTGAAGTGATAAACTGCCAGAAATACTAAATTTCCGTACACATTATTAATTATTTGCGGAAGAAGGACTGTCATTGTAAGCTAGCAGATTGCTTGATAATACCACAGCCCCAGACAAAACTCATGGAATATATTAAAACAGATAGGTAATTAAAAATACAAATTTCGATAATGGTGATGAAGATGAGGATGATGATGATCACCATCATCATCATCATAATAGCCTTCATCTCCATAAGGTTCATGAAAATCTCAATTTATGTTTTATCTCTCACAGTTTTGTTCACCCCCCCCCCCCCCACCTCCTCTCTCTCGCTCTCTCTCTTTCTCTGCCCTTTACCCCATCCTCGCTCTCCGCTCATTCCACCTTCCCCACCTCTATCTCTTTAACGATCGTTTAAAGGTAAAGACCAGTTATGGTCATGCGATTGCATTGTGAAAGAAACGTTGTAGAATCGATCAGAAAAGGTTGATCATCTAGCATCTAGCATCTGCAAGGTTCTGGAATCATCAAAATGATAAGAAATTTGGCCCATTCTTCGTAAAGTTACAAGCACTATACACAGAAAGATGTATATGGGACTACCCTATATCTCTCACAGACCATGAGAGAAACAAATTTACCAAATATATGAATTATTAGGCGGTTTCCCGGCAAATTTTTTATCATCATGTATTAGTCAAAACATATTCTTTCACATGATTGGTAATGAGAGCTCTCATTTCATTTTTTGAAATTGGGACGTTTCCAATACTGGTCTTTACCTTTAACGATCGTTTAATGAAAAATGATGCCCTTGTTATTTTCCCCTTCAAATTTTCTTTTTACATCCCACCTTTTTTTTTTTTTTTTCCTCGGATGAAAATAAATAAGGTCATGCGTTAGTGAGTCACGTGGGCTGGTAAGATTTGTAAAGGTAGAGTTACACATTCCATCATCAAACCACCATCTGTTACAGTCGTTTCGCTAGGCTCGTGCCTGCCATAGCCTCTTTCAAAGCAATCTATAGATAATAGAACAAAATCAGATAAAGTTGATATCATCAGATAAATGATATAATTTGATTGGATCATTAATTTAGTTTGGGATGTGGAAGGAATATCATTATGATGTGTATTGATAGTCTCGTTTCCATCCGATGTGCACTTTAAGGAGTCGGTATCCAAGTTTGTTGCAGCTCGAAGGAGATGGTTTTAATCAGATTGCGACTGGAAATACACTACTACCCATCTGTTGCTCTCGTTCCGCCGGGCTCGTGCCGACATCATCACCAAATTGATAACAAAGTTATTCCGAAGATCATAATCTACACTCCACCCTCCTATCATCTCATACCCACATGGTTTCCCAGCCTTTACCCACTGGATAAAAACCATGCCCATGGACCCCTCTCGTCTCGCAACGTCACATCTCCCTGGTGTTACGTCCTTGATAACCGTTTGTTTGATTGATTTTAATTATGCGTTCAAGAAGATACAAATTCAAATTCAAAGTACACAAATTCGAATAATAACAAATACAATGAATAAAATGTTTACAAAAGTAATCAAGTAGCACAAAAATCATGGACAATTATATCATACGATAAACATGTACGAAGTATAAGAAATATATAGTAAATATGTTTCAATAATTAGAGAGGTAATTTAGAACGCAGGAGACCACCATCGTCAGCTATTATTACTCGCTCTCTCCTTCTCTCTCTCTCTTTCTTCCAATCACTCCCTTCGTTCTTCCAATCCCACTCTTGTAGTTTGCTGTCTTTCCCCCTTCCCTCTCCTAACATCACCCCCTCTCTCTCTCTCTCTTTAAATTAATTATGTTCTCAATTATATTTTATCAATATGCATATGTTATACGAGTTTGCAAGAGGGATTATTTCTGGTAATTATAGGCATATAGTCATTTCCGCATCTCCCTTTTGTTCAATTGAGAATTAATTCTTTTTAATCAATCGAAATAAATAATTAAATTTAAATTCGGACAGACATGCAAACTATCAAGATTCAAGCACCATTTTACTTTCGATATCAAAACACTCATCCCAGTTCAACAATTATAAAGGTTGAAAACTCATTTGGCCTTCTTATACAAACAATCTTCACATGTCATCGGTACGAGGATAATATTTGGTTTTATTGCCCATAAATTCTTACAATGCTATTTCCGCCTGACCGATATAATTTTCTAAGGCGCTGTGATTACGTTTTTTTTTAATGATCACGTGTCTCCTATCAAAACCGCGTCAACAATTTTTTTCCTGCGTACTTTATTCCATAATTTATTCTGGCAAAAGTACAATATTGATTATTTGCAAAATGAGTAGACACTGGGAGGCATGGAAATGAAGAGGAAGGTCTCACGCATAATTTAATAGGCACATGAAAAGATTTATCAGCAAAATGAACATATCAATTCTGCTTAATTTGTCGGCATTTTCGCTTGGACCCCCCCCCCCAAAAAAAAAAAACAGCTCTAGAGAAAGGTGTGGCTAATTATGACGAAATTCTGGGGGGGGGGGGGGGTTACGTTCATTTTTCAACAAATTAATCCTGCCTTAGGATAATAATAACTTTGTTTTTAATTATACGAAATGACAAAAATATATTTTCAGAATTCTCCCAGGTATGTAGTTTATTTTCAATCTATCCAAGTCTCATTTGTTTGCTCCTCTTAAAAAAAACATCAAACAAACTTTGATCTGTGAGTATATTGTCATTGATCAACTGAATCGGAAGTTTTGTTGGCTTCTGAATTTTTACAAGGATTAAAGATAAACTTTAGTACTGGTAATGCGATTGCATTGTGAAAGAAAAGGTGTGGAAAGGATCAGAAACAGTTGATCATGTAGCATGTAAGTATTGGTGTGCACTGCAAGGTTCTGGAGTCATCAAAATCATAATAAATTTGACCGAGTCTTGGTAAAGTAACAAGCACTCACATAGAAAGCTATATATGGGACAACACACATGGTGTCGGGGCTAGTACTACATTGATTTCCTTGTCTGTCTATGCTCATTACTCAGCCAGTATACATTTTCTTCCAAAATTGTTTGGCACACGTCATTTATTTGTAATCTTGAACATTCAGTGTAAGTTTCGTTTGATTCTGTGAGAATTATTATTTTTTTTTTACCAGTACTGGATTTTATCTTTAATACTTTCCTCATGGTAGGAATAAGTGAGGACACGTAGCACCAATAATTCAAATTGCCAGAAAAGCAAAATTTCTTCGTCCCTCCCCCGCAAGTGTGCATCCTCAACAAGATAACCACCTAACAACTAGCCTGTAAAAGAAGAGTGTGACTGTGAGAATTATTCCCTCGTGAATCAACCGACACCGGCCCTGGCCTTGCACTTCGCGTCCGACCTGAGCCATGAACCGTCTCTGCTCCCAGCCATCCGATCAAGCCAGTGAGGAGGGAAGGAAAAAAAAAGGAATCAAAATAATTATTTCCTTTCACGGTTCTCTGACTGGACACCGAGTTTTCCCACGCCTCTCACTCGCTCTTGATCTTGATCCCGGCGAGCGGCTAACCTGGAAGAAATAGTCGTGGTGACCAGACCCGTCGAATCAACAAGTTACAATCCAGTACTACTGTTTTCAAAGAAAGCATTGCGGTGTCTTCATACTCATAGCTTTGCGGTGTCTTGAATATTTACTCAATTAAATTAACTTCTCCTTTTGAACATACAGTAGCAAAATCACTTAACAGATACCATACATGCATAATTATAGTTTCACTTTTTCAACAGGTTT